GCATCGGCTTTCCTCTTTCCCTTGTCCTTTTTCTTTTTGCTACCCGGATCTGGGAGGACGACATCCCGAGGAGTTGGACGAGGAGCATCCGTAGTGTTCGACGTCAAATCAATGGCCACGCTACGGTGGTCTTCAACCGAGGTCCCCGCCGGGGCTCGGTTCCTCATCACTTGCCGGTATGACAACCCGAAGCCTTGTTACGCCATCCAGCCTGCAAAAATCAAAGAGTCACACATCAACTTAACAAGAACGACCGATCAAAAAAATTAAAACATACCATCTAAGTCAAAACGAGGCCGAGGTGACTTTGGCAAAAGCACCAGAAACCGAGCCGGAATACACCGAGGTAATTCCTTCAAGAACGTCAAAGCCGAAACCTTGTCCTCGGTCATCATTTCCTCCGGAAAATCATCGTATTTTCGAGGCTGCTGAGTCCAGTAAAAGGGAAACAAGGGTTTCTGCTCGGCGTCATAGAAATGACTTCGACCGGCAACGGGGTCTATTATTACTTTCAGAAACCCTGACTTGAAGCCCTTGAAAGACAACGTAAAGGGCTTCAATAGTGGTCGATCGGCATGCCTAATTAACGAAAGCCACTTAACGGTTTTATTCGATGGACGCGTACAGAAAAAATGAAGAAAAAAACCTACACTCGGCTCTATATAATGATATTTACATATGACTCGGAACGCTTGCATATAGGCCCACCCATTCGGATGCAACTGGGTCGGCGCAACGTTCAACACACGAAGAACTCCCATTTGGAAATCGTCCAATGGGAGTGACATGCCGAGCTCCCGAAAAAAAAACTCATACATGTAAAAGAAATCCCCTTGGCCTTCCTGCTTCGCAAGAAAAACCAAGTCGGCCCCCCTAGGGCCTTCGGCTCGGCACCGACGCAACATGACCGGATAGGAATCCGAATCCTCCCACCGAGCCAACGTACACACACCAAGAAGGCGCTCCACGACACTCCTCTCATAAAAACGTGAGAAATAGGCCGCCACCTCCCCATCAACCCATTCATACCTCGGGATCTCACAAGGGGGGAATTTCTGCCTATAATCCTGTGGACTCATCTCGACATCCGGAAGATCCGAGCCGGAGGAACTCGTAGATTCCCCACTACAAATAGGCCCCGACCCAGGGGGACCACCGAAGACCTCCACTTCGGCACTATAAGCCAACATCTCAGCCTTGGCATCATGAGCCAAGACCCTTGCACTGGCCGAGGACCCTGATGACAATGTCACACCTTCGGCTGCCATTATCTCAACAAAAAACGACTGGAATCTAAGTTGACCTACCTTAACGAGTATTCAGCTCAGAGTAGTGAGGACTTCGGGGCAGTGTTTATTAGATAGGAAGCGTGAGAAAGGGGGTCACTTTACCACCATATATATAGAAAAATCCCCGGCAACTCAAAAGCCCTCATAAATGCTTTTGGAAGCGAAAAGCCACCATGCCAGGGCACGAAACCCTAGGGCGGCCAAGCATGCAACAATCACAATCATCAACGGGTGCAACTCCCGAGGTATGTACGGAAACCCTAAACCCACCAAAAGTCACATCACAAACCCCTTCGTCTTTTATCCTAGGGCTTGGGGGGGCAGTGTACTAGTAAACACCCCCCTCGGTCGGACACTAGGCCGAGAGAAACACCTGAGCCGATGAAACCCACATTAACGATACCTCTTTGGCTTGGGACTTGGCCGAATACCCCATCTCGGCCAAAGAGACAGCTGAGTGGTCTCTTACAATAAAAGGTGAAGGAAGTGAACAAAAATCATCAAGAAACATCCAACAAACCCCTCGGCCTCAAGCTTAGTCGAACATCCCCTCGGCCTCAAGCTTAGCCGAACATCCCTTCGGCCTCAAGCCTAGCCGAACACCCCCTCGGCTTCAAGCTTGGCCGAATACCCCCTCGGCCTTAAAGAGGAACGAAACAGGCGGACAAACAAGCATCAAGGAGAAACATTCGAATCACTCTTCGGCCTCAAGCTTGGCCGAATACCCCTTCGGCCTTAAGCTTGGCCGAAGAGAGAAATGTTCAAGACACCCCGACCTTGAACTTGGCCGAATACCCTTTCGGCCTTAAGCTTGGCCGAATACCTCTTCGGCCTTAAGCTTGGTCGAAGACCCAAAAGAAGGACAACTCACAGGAAACACATGGCAGATTAGGATATCTATTATGCAATGATTATCACGTCTAATTAAGAGACGTTAAGGTTAACCAAAGCATTACCCATCTCCCAAGACAGAAGGCCCACCAGACCCAATACGTCACTATAAATACACAGGTGATGAGACATAAATGAGATACGTTTTATCCAATATATAAGCCTTTATTTCTCTATACCGAACACTTACTTGATCGTCAGAGTGCCTTTGCAGTTACGCTCCCCATCCTTTGGAGACAGTATTCGGTCGGCACCGAAAATTTGAAAGATCACAAGGAAGGAACAACAAAAGGAGTGTTTCTACGCAGGAACAATTATAAAATAATAATAATAATTTTAATTGGTTCTCAGATCATCAGATTAATGCAAATTTGTGGTCCAAATTAATTAAGGTTGAATTTAATTGGTTTGAATTAGATTTGATCCATTAAAAAGTAAAAAATGAAAAATTAATTTAGTTTAAATCATCAACTTTATTAGATTATTCCAACCGACAAACACTCTTATCATTAATATTAAGAGTTATATATATAATATATAATATGATCATTAATTAATACTTACTAAAAAAATTATATAATAACACGTATCTTATGATGACATAATTTCACAAAAATTATGACTAAAAATTACTTTTACTTACATAATAAAAATAATATATGTTAATATATTATTAAAAAATATAAATATAAATTATAGTAATATACAAAATATGTTAAATTTATTTTAAAATTAATATTAAAATTATATGTAGTTATATATTAAATAAGAATATAGTTATATATTAAATAAAAATATAGTTATACATATTATATTTTTAGTAACATTTTTATATGTAGCTATATATAATATTTTTTTATAGTAATTATTTAATAATATTATATTTAAGTTTAACTATATACTACACTAGTGCATACGGGAAAAATTAGTCGTGAAATATTATACTTTATTGTAATAATAAATGCAGTCAATTTTTCTAAGACCAAGTAATGTACTCAGTAAAAAAAAAAAAAAAACTAAAATGTTAAGTAAATTTTTTACAAAGCTTTTACTTTTAACTTTTTTCACTCTGTGTTCATTCATTATTCGTTCCTATTTCAAATGCTCTAGTTGTGTTATTTCTTTTTCAACAAATCAAAACATTACATCACATTTTTCTTTCACTTTTTTTTTTCTATGAAGAATTAGTTAATAAAATGTTGCCAGAGACCGTTTATTAATGAAATCAATTAATACTCGTTGTAACAATATTGTTATTTAATCATAAGGCTGTCATAATAAAAGATAAAAAGGAGTTCGTACAGATCTAATTTGATATGCGGTGAGGAAACCAAGGCAAAATTAGTATTTAGTTTGTTGAAGAGGACCGAGTCAATCAATATATTATTAGTTGACTTTGTTTGATACAACGTACATGCTCTCAAAATATGCATGCATGTGCGTGCCTAAACCAATCAAAAGAATCCATGACATTCGGAGCTAAAAGTAGCAAAGAAGGTATAATTTTGTACAAACCCTAAAGAGCTTTCCGGCATCAAACCTCACTATATAATGCCATGGTGATTCCCTCATATTCCCATAACAACGCAGCCTTGGGCCATCCAAGGTGGACCATCCATGGATCACCATTGTTCAAACAAGGCCTTGGGTTGTTATCTTTTATTTACCATTTTTGTTTCTGTTTTTTCAACCCATAGTTGTGCTCAGGATGTTCCCGAAGAATTTATCTTCCCGGAACCACTCCCAGAGAATAATGATGCTTTATTAGCACCAGCACCAGCTCCAGAATCAAGTACAAGTTTTGCAAATGAGAGGCTCAGAAAGGCACATGTTGCTCTTCAAGCATTCAAACGGGCTATTTACTCTGACCCTTCAAACATAACCGGGAATTGGGTTGGTGAAGATGTTTGCTCCTACAATGGTGTGTTTTGTGCTCCTGCACTTGACGACCCCACAGTGAATGTGGTTGCTGGTCTTGATCTCAACAATGCAGACATTGCAGGTCGCCTCCCAGAGGAGTTGGTCCATTTGACAGATATTGCCCTTCTCCATATTAACTCCAACAGATTCTGTGGAATTGTCCCAAACATCTTGGAGAATTTCACACTCATGCACGAGTTTGACATTAGCAATAATCGCTTTGTGGGTGGTTTTCCTTCTGTGGTCCTCAAGTGGCCAAACTTGAAGTACTTGGACATCAGATTCAACGACTTTGAAGGACCCCTACCTCCGGAGCTATTTGAGAAGGATCTTGATGCAATCTTCTTGAACAACAACCGTTTCACATCTAAGATCCCGGACACTCTAGGAAAATCCAATGCCTCCGTGGTGACCTTTGCCAACAACAATTTCAAGGGTTGCATTCCCACGTCAATTGGGGAGATGAAGAACATGAACGAGGTTGTGTTCATGGGAAGTGGCCTTGGAGGGTGCTTGCCAAAGGAGATTGGGATGTTGGAGAAAGTGACTGTATTGGATATCAGCAATAATGAGTTTGTGGGGACTCTTCCTAACATGACAGGGTTGAAGAATGTTGTGGTGATCGACATAGCGCACAACAAGCTTACTGGATTTGTGTCTAACAATGTTTGCCAGCTACCTTTGTTGAAGAACTTTACATTCTCTCACAACTACTTCAGTGGGGAGGCTCAGGCTTGTGTGGCTTCTTTGGGTTCAATGGTGCATTTTGATGACTCAGGCAATTGTTTATCAGGAAGGAAGAACCAGAAGTCATCCAAGAAGTGCTTCCCAGAGCTGACTCGCTCTGTGGAGTGTAGCAAGCACTGTGGTGGAGGCAATGGGCATAGCTATACCCATCCTCAGACACCAAAGGTTCAACACTCACCACCACCACCACCCCTTGTGTTTTCACCACCTCCACCTGTCCACTCTCCACCACCACCACCAGTTCACTCCCCACCTCCACCTGTGCAATCACCACCACCACCACCACCAGTCCACTCCCCACCTCCACCAGTTAACTCTCCTCCACCCCCACCCCCACCTGTTAACTCTCCCCCTCCACCTGTCCAATTTTCCCCACCACCACCTGTTAACTCTCCACCACCCCCACCACCACTCAACTCTCCACCTCCACCTGTTCAATCTCCTCCTCCTCCACCACCAGTCAACTCCCCACCACCACCTGTTAACTCTCCACCACCCCCACCACCACTCAACTCTCCACCTCCACCTGTTCAATCTCCTCCTCCTCCACCACCAGTCAACTCCCCACCACCACCTGTTAACTCTCCACCACCCCCACCACCACTCAACTCTCCACCTCCACCTGTTCAATCTCCTCCTCCTCCACCACCAGTCAACTCCCCACCACCACCTGTTAACTCTCCACCACCCCCACCACCACTCAACTCTCCACCTCCACCTGTTCAATCTCCTCCTCCTCCACCACCAGTCAACTCCCCACCACCACCAGTCCAATCTCCTCCTCCTCCACCACCACCACCTACCCATTTTCCACCACCACCACCAGTTCAATCTCCTCCTCCACCACCAGTTAACTCCCCACCACCACCACCTACCCAATCTCCACCACCACCAGTTCAATCTCCTCCTCCACCACCAGTCAACTCCCCACCACCACCACCACCAGTCCAATCTCCTCCTCCACCACCAGTCAACTCCCCACCACCACCACCAGTTAACTCTCCACCTCCACCAGTTTTCTCCCCACCACCACCAATCCAATCTCCTCCTCCACCACCACCTGTTCAGTCACCTCCTCCACCAGTCCAATCCCCATCACCACCAACATGGGATGATATTTTCCTCCCGCCATTCTTCGGAGCTGAATACAGATCACCACCTCCACCAACCATTGTTGGATACTAAAACACAAGTTTGCAATGCCATTAACATCTTTTGCCTTTGCTTTTGCTATAGTTCCAAAAAAGGATTCTGTGTAAATCTCAACTTCTACTCTGGGAATACTAACACTATAATTATTACTCATTTCTAACACCACTTTATACTATGGGAATACTAACTCTATTACTCATTTCTAACACCACTTTATATCTTCTAACATCTACTCTTTTCCCCCTCTCCTTTTACTTTTCTGCTAGTTAATACATTTTTTTTTTTTTTTAAATTTGAAATTTATGACTCAAAAAATTTTGACCATGAAACTTATTGTAAAATGGATGAATGAGAGATATTAACGATTTCATAACTTTCCGTTATACAATAAGGAGAAATTTTACTTCAGAAATGGAGATTGAACCCTTAAAAAAGGGGAAGAGTTTTCTATCAACGAGAAAAAACTTTTTTCAAGATCTATTAATTAAAAATGTGGCAAAAGTAGGTATTTAATGTTTGTTAACCTATGCAAAGTTGCACACAATAAATGTTATGATATTATATTATGTAAAAATTAACATTAAGAAGTGTTTGTTTGGTAGGAAAAAACTTTTAGTTTATTGAAATTTTAGATTGGAAATATTAATTTTTCATATTTGATATCTATTTAAAAAATAAAAAATATTTTTAAAATATATTATTTTTAAGAATCATTTTTATCTTATTTTTTCACAAAATATTCGCATAAGGGGATTCAGAATCTACCTTTCTCAATTAGGAGAGAATTTTTTTAATTATGTAAAAGATTACAATATCCGTTTTTAGAATATAAAATATATACTTGAATTTCATCTTTCTAAAGCACCTCTCCATCTTTTTCTCTCTCCTTTTATTTCTTTTTCGCTCGTTGTTTGTCTCACTCTCCCTCTCCCTCTCCCCCCTCTCTCTCCCTCTCCCCACTAGTGTAAAAATAAGATTTTGTGACACTCATCTTGTAACATCCCGAATTTTTCTATTAATACTACGAATAATTATTATTTATTTTTGTACTTATGAAGATTATTTCCTTATAATTATTTTGACTAATTAAATGGGTTTGATTGAATTTTTAAAGGTTTTTAATAATAATCATTTATAAAAATTATTTTGTATAATATTATTAATTTTGATATTTTGTTATAATTATTATTTGAAGAAAATCATATTTTAAATTGTATTGATATTTTATTTTAATTTGATATATATATATATGTTATTTATTTATTTATTAATTAGCAAACTTGGATTTTCATAGTTCTGGAACGGGCTGTTTATTTTAATTTGATATATATATATATGTGTGTGTGTGTGTGTGTTATTTATTTATTTATTAATTAGTAATTTTGGATTGTCATAGCCCTAGAACGGGTCGTTCCACTTTGGGAACGAGCCGTTCTGGATGTGGTTTTAAAGAACAAAGTTTTGACTCAGAACGGGTCGTTCTACCTTGAAACAGGCCGTTCCGAAAACCCCAGAACGGGCCGTTCCAGATTCGGAACAGGCCGTTCTGGCCGCGACCTGATGCCTATAAATAGAGCGTTTTGCATTCTCTAAAACGCATTTTTTCATTTTCTAATCTTTTCCTCCTTTCTCTCTGAAGACGAAGGGGAACCTAGAGGGGTCGACCAACAAGATTCGACTCCTGCTTATCGAGGTAAGGGGGAGTGAGAAATCTTGCTTTGGGTGTGAGAATATATGTTGGGTAGTGGGATTGACCCCTAATACTGTGTTTGCTGTATTTTTTGTATGCTCATGTATGGGGGGTTTCTCCCAATTGTATCTGTGTTTGCTTATTATTTTTTTTATATGCAATTAATTGTATGAATTGAGATCTCTATAGGTTTCTATGGGAAACCCTATGAGGAATAGGCAAAATATGAATATTTTCTGTTTTGCTATCTGATTGCTCTATTGTATTCCTTGTTGAATGTAATGTGTAAGTATGTGATTAATTTTGAGAATAAATAGATTTTGATATGATTTAGAGTGCTCTGTGGGTTTCTGTGGGAACCCTATAAGAAACAGGCAAAATGTGAACCCTATAAGATTCTGTTTCTGATTTTGATATGATTACAAAAGCCTCTCCAAGAACGGCCCGTTCCAAAACCAGAACGGCCCGTTCTGGGGTTTTCGGAACAGCCCGTTTCAAGGTAAAACGGCCTGTTCTGAGTCAAAACTTTGTTCTTTAAAACCACATCCGGAACGGCCCGTTCCCAAAGTGGAATGGCCCGTTCTGGGTTGAAATTTTATCCACGCATGCTTGATTTGGAACGGCCTGTTCCCAAAGTGGAACAGCCCGTTCCAGAACTATGAAAATCCAAGTTTGCTAATTAATAAATAAATAAATAACATATATATATATATA